CTGTTCGGACGTTTGCAGCTTTCGCTGCTGTGTTGGTGACATCTAGGGCTCATTTCGGGCGTGAGGATTTGAGGGTCGCACAGGTTCCTGGCTGCCCGTTCTTTATGCGCATGTCTGCTCCTGTGCGTTCTTGTTGCCTTGAGTCGCAGGTTGCAGCCTGTTGTCTCGGCTCCACGTTGCGAAGTTTGTGGCGGCCGCCTCCCGGGTCAGCCCTTTCTTTTCCTTCTCTTTGGGTATGAAGCTCAGGGAGCCGTAGGGGCTCCCCCCACAGAAAACCGGCGTTGAATGTAATGAAACGCCATTTTCTGGGTGAGCCCCAGAGGCTTCTTGGCAACCCTCCCTCCCACCGGTCGGCGTTTTTTTCACGTTGGTTGAAGCTTAGCTTCCGAACTGATGCTAGGCAGCCGGCGTGGTGAGATCTGGGGCTCCTTCCTTCCCCTCTCAGGGCGGGGAGGGCTGTGTGGACAATCGGCGCAACAGTAAAATGTGATGTTTGCTTGTTTGCTTGTTTCCTTGGGATTGTAGAGAGTTTCTACCTCTCTGTTCGGTTTTCTGTTTTAGTTTTTTACCATGTGGGGTTTGTTTTGTTATGCCTACCTTTCTGGGTGCCTAACCTCGGTCGATGGCAAATAAGGAAAATCCCAACCATAGGGGGGTTTTCCAGGGCCATTGCTCCCTGAAACCTCTCTGAAGGGGCCAGGTTCTGGCGCTGATCTCTTGTAGGTCTGAACTCCTTAGCTAATGTCCCGGTCTAATATAACATACATTAGCCCGATAAGCTCCAGGAAGCCTCCGGGGCTCACCCAGAAAATGGCGTTTCATTATATTCAACCCTGTTTTTTTTCATTGACATGTGCATTGTTGAAAAATTGCAAACGACACTGCCATTCACAACTTCACAACAAAGAGCATCATGGTACATTACTTGAATTTTGAGATGTGTAGATGCACCAAATATATTAGCAATGAGGTGGGACCCAAGAGTTATATCTCAGTCTTCACTGACACAGTTATCTAAATAAATGCCTTACACACTCATTCACATACCTTAGCTTGTGTGCTGAAGGGACAAAGTACCATACAATTTTGTACTATTATAAATTATTTGTGATAAATACTGTATACTGTACTGTAATTGAGAGAGGATAATTGTGAAAAAGATGAACCCCCATCTACACTTCAACCCGTTCTTGCACTTTCTTATAGTCAATATTGACTTATTAAATAAGTGCATATGTGACATACTAATTTATTGTGAATATTTTAGTTTACCTTGAAAAGCTTCATAGAAAACACCAACCTTACCTAACCTTCTTAGTATGTTAAGATAAGCATTTTATTGCTTCGTAATTACAATTATTACTTAACCTATACCTATAATAGGTTAAGTAATAATTGTAATTATGAAGCAATAAGATGCTTATCTTAACATACTAAGAAGGTTAGGTAAGGTCGGTGTTTTCTATGAAGCTTTTCAAGGTAAACTAAAATATTCACAATAAATTAGTATGTCACATATGCACGTATTTAATAAGTCAATATTGACTATACGAAAGTGCGAGAACGGGTTGTGAAAGGAAACATGCCCAACTCTATAATAATAATAATAATAATTTTTATTTAGGCAAAGGTACATACATAAAGAGATTTTACAAAGTTTGTTGGCTTTATAGATAGAGCTAGTACATACAATGCCTAAAGCCACTATTACGCAAAGCGTTTCGTCTCTCTCTCTCCTGCCTAGGAACTAAACCCAATACCTTTGGATGTAAACCAGCAACACAGACCATTGTTCTACAGGTCCTTCAAATTATGCAATATTATATATAATAAAGGAGTAAAGCAGTTAATTCCATAGTAAGGGGAAAGACAAAGCCAAATAAGCATGGAATGCTAGACAATAGTAAAGTAGACAAATTAAGCTTAAAGTCAGTGCAGATAATGTGTTAGTCACCAATTGTACCAAGAGCTCATACAAGCTAGAAATGAGTACTGTATTGTACACGAATATAAGGAGAAAAACTAAGGAGTACTGGAATAGATAAGAGTGTATGTATGGAGGCATTTTGTTGTCCATTTAGAATTATCTTCATTCCTAGTCCAAGAAGAGAAGCTGATTGATAAAAGAAAAATACAGATAGGGAGGCCCTCCTAAGCTCTAAGGCCAGCCTCATTAAGAAGTGTGATTATGAAGACTGGAAAGAACCATTAGAAAAAATGGGTTAAACAGGTTGTGGATTTGGATTGGGAAATTGCTGTATATCAGGGCCAGGATTCACCAAGCAATTACATGTTCACTTACGAAACCTGTACATCTTTCCTTGATCAGGGCGGCTTAGTTAGTATGTATTAAGCAGTATATGAACTTGGAAACTTCACAACCCATACTTATTATTGTTATAGACAACCTCATAGCTCTTCAGTGCTCAAAAACTTTATTATTATAAACCAAGCTGCCATGATTGAGAAAAGGTGTAGAGACCTCGTAAGTGGTCACTTGAGTGCTTGGTAAACTGACTGTGATGTAGTATGTATCTAAGATAGATGGAGTATATTCAAGGAAGAACTGTACCGATGGATTACATTACATTAATAGCATTTGAATTAAAAAAATTAAATAGTTCCTCACATACACAAGCATGCACACAGTGTACAATAAATGAACACCTGCATATAAATTTTATGCATGTAGATGAATTTCATGCATAGACAAGTGATAGCATGTATATTAACTAAATGGTCAATGTATAGGGAGCTGAATACTTAACACTAAGTAAAAATACATCATTACCTTATTCCTAACTTTCCATGGAAAAGCTTTCTTTCCAGTTCATTCTCTTGGTCTGCCTCTCCATAAATATGTAATGGTTTTGCCTAACCAGAGACATATGAACCCTAGCAACCCACCTAACCTATTGAGGCCACTGCATAGTGAACATCAGTATTACAATGATTTAATTGTTATTGATATGTTGCATTTTGCACAGATTTGTCGATTCCATAAAAAATGCAATGTACGAAGTAAGGGACCTAGTTGGAAAAGACATTCCACACACATTAGCACTGCAAGAAGCCACTCTCCTATACAATGGATTTAGGTTATATAGGTTTACATTATAATGTGACCTGGCTATATATTAATTTGGAAATAGGGTGTTGATTTATGTGACAAATTACCAGGTAATATAATAAATGCAGAATCACTTGATTGTTTCAAGCTTAGGTTAGACGCCCCCGGCTTGGTGCCTTCTTTGATAATTACTTACTTAGGTTAGACATATATATGAGTGAGTTTGGGTGGTTATAAATTGGAGTTACCTCTTATGGGGGCCAATTGGCCTTCTGTAGTTTTCTTTAGTATTATGTTCTTATAACCAAGTACTGTATACACAAAGGTGGACAGGGCTGAATTCTAAAAGAAGTGAATTCCTGGAACTTGGTTCATTATGAGGACTATGACCAGGAAAGTCAGTCACTTTTCAGGCAGTACTGAAATGGGTACTGGCAGTCCATTTTAAGGCAATTCTGAACAGTCTGATGCTCCTCGATACCTTTTTTTAATTTTGAAAACTCAAAGAAGACAAAGTGTTAAGGTGTGATATTTACAAATGCAAAATATCTGTACCAGTATTTCCATTTTGTTGTAGGAATAAATTATGCACCAAATAGGTATTTTAAATCAGTGTCGGTTATGTACAATCTCTGCAGAAAACTGTTGTCTAGTGTTCTATGGACTATTTCCCTGCTTGACATTGAAGGATTTGTTCAAGTTCAATATGCCTATCCTCTCCAGTGTCACCATGGAGAGGCTCTTCTTTTTGAGGAAAAATGTCCTTAAACCAGAGTGATCAGGGCTCGGAAACAGCTATTTTGAAATGCTCATTTTCTTGAAGGGAAACTGTAGCTTTCAACTTATTATTATATTTTCCTAGTTTCATTATATTAATTTTGTATTAATTATATTTAGTATTTAACTTTAATTTACTAAAGTTAAATATGAATGATTTTTGGTGTCTTCAATTGTGTACTTTATTTCATTTCAATTAAATTCTTCACTTATATTTAATGCAAGGACAGAATCAGTCATTGTTCCATTCTTCCAAAAGGAGCATGGAAACAGCAATGTAAATACAGTAAGTTGGACTAAGTACAGCATATTTACAACTGTTTAATCTTGCCATAATTGTAATGATTTGTTACAAATATAGTTTCTAATTCTACCACTCTAGTGGTAGTCGGTATGGTAGCTAGCTACCAGTTGTTAGCCAAGTGAGGTATTGGGTTTACCCTACGATTTCTATGATCGCTGGCAGAGGGGCACCTAGTATATGAATCCATTTTGTATAATTGTGAGGAGTCACTCACTAGTGAATTGATAAAGACTCTCCACTGTTTCTGCAACTCATCTATGTGATGAGACCATTTGAAAATATTCCTACTATAGGATTATACGTTATTTTAAGCCTAGCTTGTGTATTATGTCCTGGGTGGATCATAAGACATTGGCTTACAGAGTAACCATTTTCCAGTCATGGCTATTGACATCAATGCCAGTTCATAAGGATATACTGTTCTACATTTTGCACCCATCTTGCACATACAACAAAATGCTAAAAGAAAATATTTTAGGCTTTGTTTACATGACAGTTATGAGTGAAAAATAGCTTGGTTATAATTTTCCTGGTCTTAAAAAATTGCAGGCATTTTTGCAGAGAATAAGTCGCAAAAACGTGGCTGGAAATTATATACTTAACTCACACATTCGGAAGGAAAAGAAAGGAAATAGCCAATGTTTTGGTTTGACCTGGAAACTTACCAAGTCTTGATTAAGGTCCAGGACAAACTAAAACTTATCACTTTCTTTTCTTTTCATATGTGAGGGTTGGGTGTCTCTTTGGCATAGTTGCAAATGATTTTAATTTGATAACTAAGGTTTTAATGAATAGCCAAAAGTGAAGTTAGAACTTTGCCATATCTTATGAATATATAATCTACTACAGATTTTAAATGGTCCAGAAACTGGAATGCCGCGATGTGGTTCACTAGACTCTCTACGAGATGGCCCTCACATACCTCATGATGATGGTGAGTTGCTTTTTGTATTTTCACTAAATACAAATGTATTAAGTTAAGAGAGCTTCAATATTAAGTTATATTCCTAAAGGTCTGCATTTGAATTCAGATACGTAGAAACAATGCAGTTCGTTGATCTAATAGCTAAAAGGTTGAATGGGTTTCTACTATATATTTCAGCATTCCTTTCATCTCTTCTGGTTAATGAACTTAAAATGAATTTTGTTTTTTCAGAGGAAGATGTGTTGAATGAATTTATATAAATTTAGGGTTGTGGTCATTGTTTGTAGATGGAATAACCATTGGTGATTTTCCTGTATCATAAAGAGAATCTTCAGTCGGTGATTCCCGCTCTTTCTCTCTTCATCTCACCCACAACCACACTCATAAACTACAATCCAGTCAAATAAAATTTAAATTTCATTACCTTAACTAATTTAATAATCTATAAATTTATTTTTATTTATTATTTTTTTGCCTCTACCCTTGGGGAGGAAAGGGTATTATGCTTGTACTGTCTTTACTGCTTCTCATGTCTTGTATACTGTATACTCATACTGTACTACTTTGCACCATCTGAGTTGGGATGCTGTGAGGAGTTGATGAACATGTTGCATCCTAGCTTCATTCACTACCATGGCTTATGAATGAAACCACAATAACTAACAAATTCATATCTGTACAGTCACACTGTTTAAAAGTTATCATTATTGCCCATTGCCCCAGTCAAGTATTCAGGGTCATTTCAGCATAATAGGACTTCAAATTGAAACAACCATGTGTTACTGCTTGGAAGACATATGTATAAAATATATGCATATATGTTTATTTTAACCTAAGTTTTCATTAGTGACCTTAATTTGATCTGAAAGTTATATTACTTTGTTTCTAAATGTTGTTATATCTACTGATCAAAAAGCGTTCCTTGACAAAAATACTTATACTAGAGGTAGTATAGATATCTTGGATTTTATTATGTAATTTAAATCCCTTCTACACACTTACTATCAACATACATTATTATATAATTTCACATCTATCTTCTCTTTTCTCAAGAATGTTTTGTGATCCATTGTCTATATTATTTGTATCCCTGGAATTGATATTTATGATTTTTATTGTATTATTATGTTCTTTAAATTTTCTGTGGGGAGCCCCATCAGCTCCCAGGAGCTATCCAGCTGATATGTATCTATTAGCTTTCTGGCATCAGTCAAGTCCATGACGTTCTTGCCTACTGGAGACCAGATCCAGAACCTTAGAGAGGCACGAGGAGCAATGACCTATAGAAACCCCTGTGTGGTTGGGAACATTTTATGTCTGCCATCAACCGGGTCTGGCACCCAGAAAGGTAGGCACCCTAAAACAAATTCCTATTCTGGAGAAAATATTGCCACCGAAAGCCGAACGAGTGGACAGACCTCCCCAAACAAAAATTAGCAAACGAGCATGTCATCATCACGTTGCCGCGCCGCTGTCTGCGCAAGCCCCCTCCCTCCCCGGGAGGGGGAAAGGGGTAGCCCCAGACCTTCGCGCCAGCAATCCAACCGGCAGTTCTTGGCTGATGTGATACTGGCAGGTCATGTGCCTCTGGCTCCTGTTCTGATCACAGTTACTGTGCCTTGTGGCATGGTCTGTCTGTACAAGTGGTGTGTGAGCCAGGAGAAAAATTCTGCGGTACTCGGACTGCATGTGCCTAGGGTTTCCTTCCCTAGGTGCCCTGTAAGTACTGCCCTTGGGGCTTGGGGTCACCTTCCACAAGTCACCTTGGGGCCTACCTCCGCTATATCTTTTACTGCTTGGTACTTGGCTGCCCTTAGAGTCAGCTGGAATTTTTATTGCCTTTGTATGCCTCTGGGTAGAAGGTAGTTTTCGTCACTGGTAGGGACGCAGGGTACGCATTTTCAGATCAAATTTATATCGTAACTCGAAATTATCGTAAGTCGGGGCAATTGTAAGTCGAGGTGCCACTGTATCTATATATTATATATCTATATATATAATAATATATATTATATAATATCAGGGAGATCCTGGAGCCAGGGAGATGGTGATGTTAGTGAGACACTAATACCAGGGAGATCCTGATGCCAGGGAGATGGTGATGTTAGTGAGACACTAATACCAGGGAGAAGGTGATGTTGTCCTTCTGGCTCCTTGGTGGCCGGCCCAGCCTTGGTTTCAGGCACTGCTTGCTCAGTGTCCGAACCCTCGTCTTCCTGCGGCTCCGCCTCTTTCAGCAGATCGGTCCATCCCGGTATGAGGCTGGTTCATTCTTCTCCTCAAGTCTTCACTTCTGGAGTTTCTGACTCAAGTCTATCATTACTTGTATGGGGCGCAGGTGACTTCGTTGTTGGTCTTCCGCCTGCGTGCTTCGTCTCGGTGGCAGTATGAAATTTCCTGGCAGTCCTTCCGGATTTTCCTCTCATTGCGTAGGTTTACTTCGGTCTCTGATAGAATTGTCTTGTCCTTCCTTTCGTGGTTGTTCCAGGACCGTCATCTTATGCCGAATACTGTCGCCTTGTATCCTGTGGCGCTGGTGGAGCCGCTCCAGCTTGCGTTCGGTATTGATGTTACTTCTTCCCTGTTCCACAAGCTGTTTCGTGTATTGTTTCACCTCTGGCTTGCTCATGCCCCTCCTGACCCATCCTTTTCTTTGGACCGGGTGCTCTCTTTTCTCTCTTCTTGGTTTTTAGTGGTCTCTATTATTTTTCTAAGGCTCTTTTTCCTGTTGGCATTGGCCCTAGGGGTCAGGTTGGGGAGCTTCATGCTCTCCTCCAGCTCAGGGGTTTCTGCTCCTTCAGTCCTGGTGGTAGGTTTGTTCGATTGCAATTGTCTCCTTTTCTAGCAAAGAATGCAGCTGCTTTCCAAAGGGGTCCTTGGGTTGTGGATGCTTGGTTGGTCAGGCCGGGGGTGCATCTTGTGTTGTGTTTGGTTGTGGCTCTCCGCCGTTATTTGCACGCCACAGTTTCGGTTGCTGGGGATGCACTTTGGGTTGACCCGGTTTTCCTCCTTCCCTCTTCCTGGGATTGGGTCTCCCAAGTTGTTCACAGTGTTATTAAGCCTAGCCAGCCAACGATCTATTCTCGTGCCCACAACGTTCGTTAGTTTGCTGTTGTGGCTGCCGTCTTTGGCAACATGTCTTGGATTGACATTCGGATACAGGGTTTTTGGAGGTCGAACAAGGCCCTGGCTGCTCGCTACCTTGTCAATGCCCCTGCTCCTGCGTTGTATTGGGTCGGCGGTTGCAGCCAGTTGTCTCAACTTTGGAGTTGTCTGAGGAGTGAGGACTGACCGCCTCCCGGGATAAGTCCCTGTGTTTTTTCTTGTCTATGGGCAGCTAGCTCAGGGGAGCCGACGGGGCTCTACCCAGAAAACCAGCGTTGAATGTAACGAAACTCCATTTTTGGGGTGAGACCCAGAGGCTCTCCAGCATCCCTCCCTCCCTCTGGTCGGTGGTGTTTTTGCGTGTTTTTGACATCCAGCCTAAGAACTGCTGGTTGGATCACTGGCAGGAGGGTCTGGGGCTCCCCCTTTCCCCTCCCCGGGAGGGGGGGGGGGGTGGTTGCACAAACAGCAGCGTGACAACGTGAAGATGTCATGCTCATTAGCTAATTTTTGTTTGGGGAGTTCTGTCCACTCGTTCGGCTTTTGGTAGCAATATTTTCACCAGAATAGGGGTTTGTTTTGGGGCGCCTATCTTTCTGGGTGCCAGACCCGGTCGATGGCAGACATAGAATGTTCCCAACCACATGGGGGTTTCTACAGGCCATTGCTCCTCGTGCCTCTCTGAGAGGGGTCCAGGTTCTGGCTCGTGGTCTCCGGTAGGCAAGAACTCCATGCAATTTGATGCCAGAAAGCTAATGAATACATATCAGCCTGGATAGCTCTGGGGAGCCTCTGGGTTTCACCCAGAAAATGGCATTTCATTACATTCAAAGCTGTTTTTTTTTTTTGGAACGTTATATATGGTGATAGTGCACGTAACTACCTGGTGGCTTATTTTAGAGCCATTCTGATCTGTTTTACACAGTTGCTTTTAGAGGCAAGACCCACTAGACCCCAGGACAGGTTTACCTGTCATGGGGGTCCTGTGGGTCCTGTGGTTTACCTGTACTGTAGTTGGTTACAAGAATTATACTCTCCAGGCATGTGATAACTTGATCTAAAAGGCTATTGCATGTAGTGGCTTGCAGGCTCTCATATCATTTATGGCTAGGTTGATCAGACATTTCCTACAGGATGTTCTCTAATTGTTTCTAGAACAGTTTTCATGCATTGTCAATGCAGATCAGGTATCTGCACTAAGACAGCAGGAATCTTTTTAAATACTGTATATCCCTATAAGTTGACATTTGGGCTAAGGAGGATGTTGGTGCTAGGGAGATGCTGGTGCTAGTGAGACATTAATACCAAAGAGATCCTGGTGCTAGGGAGATGCTGGTGCTAGTGCGACACTAATACTAGGGTGATCCTGGTGCTAGGGAGATGCTGGTGCTAGTGCGACACTAATACTAGGGTGATCCTGGTGCTAGGGTGACACTGGTCCTAGGGTGACACTGGTGCTAAGGTAACACTGGTGCTAGGGTGACACTGGTGCTAGGGAGAATCTGGTGGTAGGGAGAATCTGGTGGTAGATAGATGATGATGCTAGGTAAATGGTGGTGCTAAGGTGACGCTGGTGCTAGGGTGACACTGGTGCTAGGGTGACACTGGTGCTCAGGTGATGCTGTTACAACAGCAAGGGTGGTGCCAGGGAGATGCTGGTTCTAGGAGACGTGCTAGGAAGATGTTGGTGCTAGGGAGACTCCGGTGCTTAGGAGATATTGGTGCTAGGGAGACACTGATGCTAGAGAGATGAAGAATATTTATTCCAGCCCAAAATTACTGTCAAAAATATGCATTTCATTAAACTCATTCCCATTCAAACTAATTAGCAACCTATGGACTGTGAATGGGTATATTCAGCTCATTCTCTTGCCATTCTATATCAACCCAAGCATTTTACCTAACCTATCGAGGCATATGCATAGAAAGCGTCAGTAAAATAGTACTGTACTATAGTTTTTACTTGTATCATATGTCACATTTTTTATGAATTGGCCAGTTCCATTAAAAATGTGACATATTAGGGGAGAGGACAGTATGTTGCTGTTGTCCCTTCCCATTCAGGCAATACTGCTCTATTTGTGGAGACCATGTTATGGCATGGTCTTTCCTTTTGACTGCCCTCTTGTGGCGGGCCCCATTGACAATCTTCGCATTTTGAATTATTTAGCAGTTCACCACCTTTATTAAGACCAGGTGCTGGCTCTTTCAGTGTCACTTTGCACCCTTCCTGCACTCTCTCCTCTCTCACCTAATACTGTATGTCGTATTTTTAATGGAATCGACCAATCCATTAAAAATGTGACTTACTGTATGAGTAAAAATTCAATTCATAGTATTACCGTAGTATAGACACCATAGTATAGGTACCATAGTATTGACATTTTCTGTGCATTAACCTTGGTTGGTTAGGTAGGTTGATTGGGTTCATAAGTTTCTGGTTTATTTCAATATGAGAAAACAAGCTGCTTCCTTGCACCAGTATGAGGTATCTTGGTGGTCTTTCCAGCTTTTCCTTTCTCTTTGCCAGTTATCCACTATTTCTGTACTAGTAATCATGTCCTTTTTGTCCTTACTGTTTGTGGTACTCCATCTCCTCTCCATTACTGTTTCTTCCTACCATTTGGCCTCAATGGAGCTTCTCCTACTTGCTTCTTTTATCTTGATGAATAAAGATTGAAACAAGGGAAGGGGCATTTGTCCCATGTTAACCAAACCAAGCACTAGTATCCCAGCATGCCACTAGATAACAGTTCACGACTCTCCTGGATTCAACCTGCTCATCCAGCTAACTTGCATGCTGCCTCAAAAGGCCCCTGAACCACATGGGGAAGATGGGCAAAAAGGGGCAGGTAACAGAAGCTACTGAGGCCACACAGAAAGTGGCATTGCATTACACTCAATGATGTTTTCTGGGAAGGCTTCCCTCGGTGACTTTCTGGGCTGTCTCAGGAAGCCACTGAGGAGAAACTCCAGAGGCATTTCATTACATTTAATGCTGGATTTTGTTTAGATACTGTATATTCATTTGTTTAATTGTCCATCGTGAGATATACTTTAAGGGACTGGGGATACCTCACTTGATCGTCTATTTTCAATCGAATCAACATGTAGTTAAAATTATCCTGTTAATTGAAGTACTGTATAGTATTGTTAAACAATATCTTACTTTTATATAAAAACAAATATTACATGCTCTTGATATATTTGCCAGATAATAGACTGTCTTTCTCTTTTTTTCACAATGCTGCCATTCAGGTCTGCTTCAGGTTCCTATCTTTCTTAAGTGCCTCCATCTTTCTGTTGAAAATTTATTCAAGAAATAGTGAAAGAAGCACAAGAGGTGTGAATTTTCTACATTTGATGCTTTAAAATAAAGCCCGCTCTTAAGTTGCAATAATCTTGTGCTGTTTATATCCATTTTGCTATGTTATAAATACGTACTGCCTTATTGCTCATGCCCCCTCTGTAGTCAAATAGGTACACATAACTGAGCCATTTTTCCTATCAGTTTGCTATGATTTTTCTTTTTAAAATTTTACCAGTTTTTGTTTTTTTTATTATAATGTGGAAATTTGGACCAGTTTAGATATGGTTATTATCATAGGTTGCAGAGAATAAGTCACATTAATGTGACTGAAAATTAATAACTCAGCTGACACATGAAGAGAGAGGAAAGTGGCAACATTTTGATCCATCCTGGACCCTTATCAAGTTGAAGCAATATTATCACTTTCCTTTCTTTTCACACGTGTAGATTGGATTATTATCATAGGTCATGAGAATCTCAGATGCCTCTTGTTCAAATCACCTTTCCAGCCCCATGTGAACTTTCAACAGTAGTGGTAGAAAAGCCACCACATGTTGCGAGGTCCTCGTTCATGGGTGCAGCCAAGGGCCTCTTCGCTAATATTCAGTATGCTAAAGTGTAGGCAAGGAAGGTGAGAGTAGAAGTAGAGCTGCTTCTCTCTTGCTGTTTAAATGTGCTGTGGTAGCAGTCATGTCTTAGTCATATTTCATAATTTTTGTGTGTGTAACCTTGGTGCTATTCTAAGTTCTTTGCTGATATTTAGTTAAGTGACAAATGTAATGTCCAGCACGGTAGAGTATAGATATTAATGGGTGTTTTTACTTATATCTTTGTTCTTTGAAACCTTGGGAGGCTTTAACCACTAAACAAGCAATGCTAAAATACATTTTTAACTAAGATTTTGAGTGTATACTTACAATCCATATACCTGACATTTTTTGTTTACTGTCCCATGAAATGCAAAACAAAATCTATTAGTTTTCTTGAATTTTAATGAAATAATATAAATAGGTGGATTGCACCTACTTCATAATAATTAAATTACAGGTAGTGATCTACTGAGCGCCATAACTGCTACATTTGAGGAGAAGATGCGGAGTCTTCAGGAGTCTCATCTAGGCCTCGTGACGGCAGTCACCGATGATTACATCAGCAGCTTTGACCCTTCCTCTGATGTGGGTCAGCTACATGACCATACTGGTACCACAAGAGGAAAAACAGAGTGTCGTTTATACCGTGATCCTTCCCTTCACCGCCGCCGCACTAATCCTCGGAACCCATCTCTCAATGCTAGTACATCCTCTTCCTCCTCTGCTGCCAATGCAGCTCTCACCTCAACTATCTCCCAGGTACTATATTATCACTTTATCTGAACTCTTTTTCTGCAAATTTTATGTTTTAAATTTGTTTTTATTACCTTACTATACTGTAATTTAATTCATTATTATTATCTTAGCACTTTTACCATAAATTTTACTTTTAAATTTGTTAACTATAATTACATCCATAATTTGATTCATTATTTATTTTATCAACAGGTAGAGGCTGCCTGTCAGGCTGCTAAGTTTGTAGAAAATGAAAACAAATTATTGAGTGAAGAAGTAAAATGTGATGTAAAAGTAAAGAGGTCAGACTCCTTGACTAAGTCAGAGAAAACTGAAAACAATTTAAAAGAAAAAACTGAAAAAAGGGCTCGTGAATTAAAGCGCACTGACACTCAAGAGAGCCTAAGTGAAAAAAAGCCTAAAGAAATGAAGAGGTCAGATAACCTGGATGGAACAGAACGTTCACGAGATTTATCTAAGAAATCAGAGGTAAAGGATAATTCAGTGGGATCTACTAGACGTACTTCTGAAGTGAGGAGCAGAAGGCATAATGTCAAAGAACTTAAAGAGAAATTTGAACAAAATACAAGCACTCCATCTAGTACCAATCCCATGAAACCATCCACTGTTTATAGTAATGTAAATAACAATAGTACTAAGACAAACAAATCAAGTATGCGGCGAACAGGGTATCGTGGACATATTAAGAGACGGCACACTGTTGGTGGTACCAAAGATCTGGCCAAGTGGGCATGGTTACAGAGTGCTGAGGTGTCTAGAAATGCTCCACGCTCCACACGTCTTTCTGCATGGGAGCGCCTCCAACCCTTGGTAGCAGACGAGAGACTAAACACTGACAGGACATTAGAAGCGTGGCTAGCCCATGAACGCATACGAACATCTTCACCAGACCTGTCAAGACCTCAGCAATTAGTACTCCATTGTGACATGGATGATAAAGAAAATCTTCATCGCCGCCTTAGTGTACAAGAAGCAACATTGAATCCACTTTATCCTCTACTAGAGAGTCATGTGTAATGGAGTACAGTATAAGTCATCATCAGTGTCTATGTTACTCACTCTTTGCCTCCAATACTTAAAACTAGTGTTTTTAAAGGCACAATCAATATATAGACAATGTAAACAATGTTGCAAACATTAAAAAGTGTTGGAATTTTGAGAAGGGTAATGAACAGTGCTGTGATTTTTATGTCTTTTTAAGTGTTATTTCAAAAGCATATCATTGAATGTGTATATGTGTGTATGTGTGTGTGTGTATATGTGTATGTGTATGTGTGTGTGTGTATATGTGTGTATGTGACAATGTCAGACCACAAAGGAAGGATTGAAACAGGAATTTCCTAACTTTCATATTTAATAATACAACTTCAAAATGATACATCCTTCTGAAGATGTATTATTAAATACAAAAGTACTATATATATATATAATATATATATATATATATATATATATATATATATATATATATATATATATATATATATATATATATATATATATATATATATATATATATATATATATATACACACACATATATATACAGTACATTATATATATATATATATATATATATATATATATATATATATATATATATAATTATTGAAAATTCATAAAGAACCACAGATAAATTGAGAATAAATTTGTCTGAGTGTTTTGTGTTCAACACATCACAGGCTTGCATAATTAAATATTGTATATATAGATATATAATAATATATAGATACAGTGGCACCTTGATTTACGATTGCCGTGACTTACGATAATTTCGAGTTACGATATAAATTTGATTGGAAAATGCAACTCGACTTACGATAGTGTTGTCGTCTAACGATATTTGTTGATACATGTTCGGGTCGACCGAGCGCATGGTTCCCGGTCGCGCGGGCCGCCCTGACTCAATTTACTACAGCCGCCCGCTTAGTGACGCTCACACTTATAAGAAATTCCATTTTTTTTTTTGTGTGTGATTTTTTACTTTTTTAACATAAGACTGATTATTATATATCACGCCATGGGTCCCAAGAAAGTCAGTGGTAAGGTTCAACATATGAAAATACATGTGAGGATGACCATAGAGGCAGCTGAGCAAATTTCTTCAGGGAAGGAGGAGCCAGTACAGAATGTCCCTTCCTCAACAATTAGGAAGTGATGTAGACTGTGGGAAGAAATACAAACTTTTGTTGAAACGACTCACCCAGAGCAAGCTGTAGTAGAGCGTGGCCTTAACCTTTTCAATGACACTGTGATGCATCACTACAGACAAATGTTAAAACAAAGGGAAAAACAAGTGTCGCTAGACAAATTTTTAGTGAGACAAACAAGCAGTGAACCACAACCAGGTCCTAGTGGTATGCAGGCAAAACGTAGGAGAGAGAGTACCCCAGAGAAGTCATCACTGCCTGATGTTAAAATGGAAGGGGACTCCCCTTCTAAACAGTAACACCTCTCTTCCTCTTCCCTCATCACCATCTTCCATACGCCATTAAGAGTCCTTCATAAGGGTAAGATAAACATATGTACTGTATTGAAAACAATTGCATTCAGTATAAAATGTATTTTTAAGTTAATATTTTTGGGGGCGTGGAACAGATTATTTCAATTTCCTTTATTTCTTATGGGAAAAAGCTTCGACTTACGATATTTCGACTTACGATACGTCTCTGGGAACAGATTGCCATTGTAAATCAAGGCCCCACTGTATATATCTATAAAATGGAATATCTTTCCAAGATTGAAGACCAGATACCTGGATCTAGCCTCACCCAGCTTTGCAAGATGACACATGTAGGGGTATGGGAGTGTCATAGACCAGCTAGGATCGACCTCAGTCAACTTCAGAAATATCAGCATTTATTGTGACCCCCCCCCCAATGATTTTCATAAAGTTAAGTCTGAATTTGGGGATGTAATTTCCAGAGAGTTATTTAGCAGTTTTTTCAGTACTTCATGATATTACATTTTCTGAGAGAATGGGGGAAGGAGAGGGGAAATGTTGAAAGTGAGGGAAGAAGAGGGGAAATAGGGAATAAAGGTGGAGATGGGGGAAGAGAGACCTGGATACAGTTGGATACCTCATCTAGTATATCTGCATAGATGACATATTAGTTAGGTCAGATCAGTATGGGCTAACATACACAACAAACCTGGGAACAGTTGGTGGGCTGTTCTTGAGACATAACACAACCCCAAGAACAAGTGAAGACATTAAATTGCAATAGAGATGAATATTACAAAACATTTATAATGTATCTGCAGTCTGTGTAAGAAATAGGAAGGCCAAAAATCAGGCCCAATATTTTTCATTGTTGCAATTTTGAAAACTAAATTAATCTTAACTTAGTCTGGAACATGTTTAAAATATTATCATTAAAACATACCAGTAATGCTAGGTTTGAATTAGTTGTAAGAGATTATTTTTTAACAACATTACTCCAGTCAATTGGATGATTATAATCTCAAGTATAATGAGATCGATGCCATACAGTACTGTATTTATGTTTTGAATGACTTTTTGAAATCTTGGCCAATGTCATTAATGTACTGGCTAAATCCTTTCCAACTCTTGGAAAGGATTTCGTAAATGTGACCACACGTATTAACTGGTGGCTTCTTCATTAGTAAGATCCTAACCATATTAGAATTTTTAAATATAAGTATTTTATAAATAATTATAATACAATTGTTAAATTTATGGGAAGGTTCAGTATATTATTATAACCCCCATCCTCCACCATGGTAATGTATCCCTCACCATGGTAATGTATCCCTCACCATGGTAACTCATCTATCACCATGGTAACCCATCCACCACCATAGTAACCCATCCACTGCCATGGTAACCCATCCACCACCATGGTAACTCACCCATCACAGTGGTAACACATTCACCACCATGGTAACCAAGCCATCACCATGGTAACTCATCCACCACCATGGTAATTATCCCCCACCATGATAACCCATCCCCCCCCACCATGGTAACCCATCCCTCACCATGTAACCCATCCCCCACCATGGTAACCCATCCCCTCACCATGGTAACCCATCCCCCACCATGGTAACCCATCCCCCACCATGGTAACCCATCCCCTCACCATGGTAACCCATCCCCCACCATGGTAACCCATCCCCCACCCTGGTAACCCATCCCCTCACCATGTAACCCATCCCCCACCATGGTAACCCATCCCCTCACCATGGTAACCCATCCCCTCACCATGGTAACCCATCCCCTCACCATGGTAACCCATCCCCCACCATGTAACCCATCCCCCACCATGATAACCCATCCCCTCACCATGGTAACCCATCCCCCACCATGGTAACCCATCACTTACTATGATAATTTATCTTGTAATATATATATGTTGTACCTAGTAGCCAGAATGCACTTCTCGGTCTACTATGCAAGGCCCAATTTGCCTAATAGGCCGAGTGATTTTCTTTATTTACCATAAAATGTTTCCAGTTGATTTATTTTAAATATTTTTATTATATTAAGAACATAAATTATTGATTTAGTTATGTTAGTTTAGGTTAGGTTAGGTTCGGTCATATATCTCCATTTGTAACTCAAATTTTAAAAAATTAAGTCATAAATAATGAAATGGATAGCTTTATCATTTCATAAGAAAAAAATTAAAATAATATTACATTCAGAAAAACTTGGCTTATTAGGCAAATATATATATATATATATATATATATACAGTGTGTCCTCACTTGAACGAACTATATGGGGCGAAGCCGATTCGTTCCAGTGCGGAATTCGTTCCATCCGTCCGGCCCCAACAACCTTCTTATTTTTTTTTTTTTAAACATATGCCAGGACACATTAGTTTGTTTCTTTGTTGTGTGGTGCTTCATTATAATATCTTTCATGCTCTTTTGGTGTCAATAATAATCTGAGATGCGAGAATCACCATCCCCCACCCCACTCACACCATCCCCCACACCACCCACACCATCCCCCACACCACCATCCCCACACCATCCACCCACACCATCCTCCACACCACCCACACCATCCTCCACACCACCCACACCATCCTCCACACCACCCACACCATCCTCCACACCACCCACACCATCCTCCACACCACCCACACCATCCTCCACACCACCCACACCATCCTCCACACCACCCACACCATCCTCCCACACCACCCACACCATCCTCCACACCACCCACACCATCCTCCACACCACCCACACCATCCTCCACACCACCCACACCATCCCCACACCACCCACACCATCCCCCACACCACCCACACCATCCTCCACACCACCCACACCATCCCCCACACCACCCACACCATCCCCACCACCCACCATCCCCCACACCACCCACACCATCCCCCACACCACCCACACCATCCCCCACACCACCCACACCATCCCCCACACCACCCACACCACCCCACCATCCCCCACACCCCCACACCATCCCCCACACCACCCACACCATCCCCCACACCACCCACACCATCCCCCACACCACCCACACCATCCCCCACACCACCCACACCATCCCCCACACCACCCACACCATCCCCCACACCACCCACACCATCCCCCACACCACCCACACCATCCCCCACACCACCCACACCATCCCCCACACCACCCACACCATCCCCCACACCCCACCCACACCACACCCCCACCATCCCCCACACCACCCACACCATCCCCCACACCACCCACACCATCCCCCACACCACCCACACCATCCCCCACACCACCCACACCATCCCCCACACCACCCACACCATCCCCCACACCACCCACACCATCCCCCACACCACCCACACCATCCCCCACACCACCCACACCATCCCCCACACCACCCACACCATCCCCCACACCACCCACACCATCCCCCACACCACCCACACCATCCCCCACACCACCCCCACACACCACCCACACCATCCCCCACACCACCCACACCATCCCCCACACCACCCACACCATCCCCCACACCACTAACACCATTCGCCCCCACCACCCACACACCCCCACACCACCACCCACACACACCACACCACCACCCACACCATCCACCACACACCACCCACACCATCCCCCACACACCACCCACACCACCCACATCATCCCCCACACCACCCACACCATCCCCCACACCCCCACACCATCCCCAACACCACTAACACCATTCGCCCCCACCACCCACACTCCCCACACCACCACCCACACACCCCACACCACCACCCACATCATCCCCCACACACCCCACCACCACCACATCATCCCCCCACACCCAACCACACCACCCACACCAACCCACCCACACCCAACCCACCACACCACACCACCC